GTGTTGGCACATTTACAAAGGAGGTGGTGTTTGCAGGGGTGAGATGGGTTTGGGTCCCTCTCTCCCTCCCGCCGAGCTTGCGAGGCGGGATTCGGCGCTTTCGGGAAAATAGAATGCCTATTTTCTATTGCGCCGGATGAAAATTCTTGGTGGTTAGCACATTGGAGCAAGGGTGAAGAAGTTAGAAGTGAGAACGAGTTGGTCGCGAAGATGCTGGCGTCGGTCAACTGACCGGACGCTGGATCTGAATGCACCGGACGCTGGCAGGCTGCGTCCGGTCGCGCTGACGTACGATGACGCATAAGCTGGAGAGTGACCGGACGCTGGTGCTGCGTCCGATCGTGTTCGACCGGACGCGTCCGGTCATGCTCGGGAGCTTACTGGAAACGACCGGACGCTGAGGTCCAGCGTCCGGTCAGTTGAAACTGCTGCGTCCGGTCAGGTCAAGTGACCGTTGGAATCGGGACACGTGGTCGTCTGCGGGTGACCGGACGCTGAGGTCCAGCGTCCGGTCAACACGACCGGAGCATCCGGTCGGCCCGACCGTTGCCCAGTGAAGGGGTAACGGCTAGTTTAGCCCTTGGGGCTATAAATAGAAGTGGCCCTCAGCCATGGCTGGTGCTGAGCACCTCAAGGGACTTAGTGTCCATGCTTGTGAGTGCTTGGGAGCCCTCCATCACACATATACTTGATAGTGATCATTCGATTGTGTGAGTGAGCGATTCTAGTGCGATTGCATCGTGAGGTTGCATCGAGTGGCACTAGGTGGTCGTGTTGCAAGCCGGTGGTGCTTGTTACTCTTGGAGGTTGCCACCTCCTAGACGGCTTGGTGGTGGTCTCCGTCGAAGCGCGCAAGAAGCTTGTGCGGCGCTCCGGAGAAGTGCTTGTGAGGGGCATTGTGCTCGCCCCGCGGGAGTCGCGAAGAGCAACCTTAGTAAAGCGTGTCATTGAGCTACCCTCACTCAAGGGGTAGGTTCTTGCGGTGCCCGACGTGCGGGCTTAGCGGGTGATGCTAATTAGCCGCCGAACCTCCAAGTGAGCGGTCGACACAACGGGGACTAGCGTGTTGGCAAACACGTGAACCTCGGGAGAAAAATCATCGTGTCAACCTTGTTCTTCCCGTTGGTTTGCATCTCCATTACACAAGCTTGCAATTACTTATATATATATCTTAAGCTTGTGTAGTTGCTCTTGTAATTAGATAGCTTGTGTAGCTAGCTAATTACCTTCTTGCTTGTGTAGCATAGAAGTAGCTTCCTTGCGTGGCTAATTTGGTTTTAGTAACCTTGTTAGTCACATTGCTTAGTTTGTGTAGCTAAGTATTTGCGCTCTCTAATTAGGCGTTGGTTGCCTTGTTATTGAGCATTGCTAGTGAGCTTAGTTAGCTTTGTGCTTTTGCTTACTAGCATGTGTAGGAGCTCCCTTGTTACTTAAAGTACTAGTGGCATAGGTTTGTGTGACCTTGCTCCTAGAATTGTTTAGGAGAGCTCTAGCTAGCCCGGCACCTTAGTTGCTTTATTAGTATCTTTGCAAGGTGCTAGTGAACATATATAGAGGGGTGTAGTCTTGGCTAGACCGATTGTTTTAATTCCGCATTTATATCGGTTAGCCGACGTGATTAATTTTAGAAAAGACTATTCACCCCCCCTCTAGTCCGCCATCTCGACCCTTCAGCCGCCTGCTGGGCCTCCAACCTCCGCAAGTCGGCCTGCAACATTCCACCCGCAATGTTTAAACAATGCAAAGGCAAGGCAGATGTGTAAAAGCAATGAACGACGAATAAAACAGTACTAACCTGGAGTTCCGCCATCTGCTGCTGTGAGCTTTGCTGCCGAGAGCGTATGGGGAGGGAGGAGCTCGTGCTCCTTGCTCAAATCTCGGCGAGGTTGGGAACATAGGCGGAGTCGACTGTGCTGTCCGCCATCCAGTACCGACTGTGATGCTTCCCTCCTCCCATCCTCTCATCAGGAGGTCTGTGTCCAAGGGCTGGGTGGCCGGATCGAAGTCCTCCCCATGGCGCTCGCGGGCCGCCGAGGTGTACTCGCTAAGCTTCTTTGTGGGCGCTCATGTTGGTGCACGCCTCGGGCCCGTCCCGCCGGGTTGTAGGTGACTTCAGGGGCCATCGCCTTGCCCTTTGTGTGCAGGCGTGCACGCCATGAACTTGTTGCATTCCTGGCCTTGAGTGCGCCTAGGACCTGCGAGGAAAACACAAAGATGATTACAAGTAATGAGAATTAAGCGTTAGAATAAATAAATGAAGATGAAAACACAAAGAAGATTACCCATATGCGGGACGTGTGGCTGAGGCTCGGTTGCCTTGGTGGTGTGGCGTCCCCACCCATCTGCTGTTGGCGGCGATCGGACGGATGTTGTGCTTCTCCGCCCACTCCTCCGAGAGCCACCTATCCACAATGGCCTCCCAGCAGAGGCGGTGTCTGGCGCACCAATCAGGACATTGCTGCATGCCATCAAGTTATTGATATGTCAGAAGATGAAATAAAGCCTACCTATTCTTCATGGAATGAGTCAAGATAATGTTTCAGTACTTACCGAGAGAAGTCTTGCTCCTTGGTGAGCGCCCACGGTCACGCATCGGCCTTCCTCACCACACGACCAAGGGCGTCGGTATTTGTTCTCCCGATACACGTCCTGCAAGAGAGAGTGTATCCGGAGAACAACAGGGAGGTGATGCCGAAAGTCTGTCTCGGACCGGAGCGAACCAAGGAAACTAACCTCATCTACGCATCCGTGGGCTGTCCAAAATACGTGGACAATCCAAAAGAGATACGGTCGCAGATATGCAAAGATCTGCATACCTCCGACCGTATCTCTTTCGAACAGGAGACGCCTAACTGGGCTATGTGACCATATAAAACATGCATGCAAAGGAGGAGGGGGTTATACCTAGGGTGGCGGTGGAGTCAGGCTAGCGCGGCAGTGGAGAGGCGATGCGGTGCAGGCAGACCGAGCATCGTACGTGACAACGTGCTCGAAACTTTTTCAACATTTTTCCACGGCATACGCATACGATACGGCGACAACTCGACAAGTTTCATGATTTTTGGAATTCGTTCGCATTTTATACAATTAAAAAACTACTCCCACGCAAGTTGGCGGCGTTGCCCCGTGAGCACGTTGATCGAAATTTCGAGACAGATCCTGGATTTAGCCTAAATTTACACTAAGAAACAAGGATAATATTTTTTGAATGAATGTAATCCATTATTCGATGCACCTGCAGTTCAAACTTACATTTTCTAAAAAAAATCAACAAAACAAAATAAACTATAGAAATATGCCAAAAGGCAATAAAAATGTCCCAAATTTAAACATGTTATTTGTGCTAGTGTACTAAAGCTTCAAAAAAAATTGGTGGCAAAAAACCAAAAAAAAAAAAATTGCCGAGTGCCAAATGGGGGGCACTCGGCAAAGAGGACGCCGCTGGATGCCGTTAGGCCCCCTAACAATCTTTGCCGAGTGTCTGCCTGGCCTCTTTGCCGAGTGCCATATTTTGCCGAGTGCGGCGCTCGGCAAAGCAGGTCTTTGCCGAGTGCCCGAAATTTGGCACTCGGCAAATCACGTTTTTCCCGTAGTGGCTAAAAAAATTATTAGCACCGGAGTAATTAACCAGGCGAAGTTCTCAAAACCAGACCATAGCATCAATTAGCTTTTGTGTAGATTCTTCATCATTCGGGATGTGTCCCACAAGTTTTGGATTATCATGGCATTCACATAATTAATTTAGGGTGAGAAATGAACTAACCTAGATGATGAATAAAACACGTACCATTGGATACAATTTGCATAGTTATTCATCATGTGTAATTGTAGGTGTCCTTTTCTAACTTAAACAATTATAGTCGTGCACTCCCCCTGTTTTATATAAGGTACTCAGGCGGTTCATTTTTTTTGGCATGGTCGAACAAAACAGAAACATAAATGACCATAAGTTCTCAAAAAAAAAATCATACATTGTCATCTTTTGGGCGGATGTCTGATTTGCAGTTGCTTTAGTATATGCAGTGTTGTCCTCGTTGATGGAGTTCTAATAACTAGGTAGATCCTATATCAAGTTAAAGGCTGGTTTTCTTTGTAATGCTAGATTCTTGAAAAAAAAATAAGATTAGAGTTGTCGCCTCTTATATGTCATGTTCTTATTTTTCTACCTTTGTCCAAAGGAATCCTAAGGCTACGCTGAGACTAGTTTTTGTAGAACCCTTGGTTATGAGAAAGAGGAAGCTGGACGAAAATCATGATTCGAGGGGGTGCTCAGGATGTGCATGGAAAAGTTAGCACTTTTTTGTTACTTCTTTTGTTCAAAATTATTGGGAATTTAGTTTCTTCCTAAGTGAAACCAATCTAATTTTGATTAAGTTCGTTGAAAAGTACACCAACATGTACAACATTGAATTAGTTACATTATCATGGGATAGACGAAAGTTAGGAGTGACACATATGCCTTGCGCTAGTGCAAAACAGCCAAGCATCAAAAGAAAGCTAACCAACTAATAATTAAGATACCTTCAGTTTGTAACCATAGATACTTTCCGGGGGATTTTAGCTTTCTTGTAGATACTTCGTTCATCATGTAATCCCACATGTTTTGGGTCATTGGATCAACTCATCAAAACTTGCTAAATTAATTAAACTATATATATAATGGCATGCCACCTAATTAATTTAGAGAGAAAAATGAACTAACCTAGCTGTACTACGCAAAAAACACCTTTAGATACACACTTGCATTGCATGCATACGTATTCATCATGCATTCATGCTTTCTACACAACTTGTACAACTGTCTTAACTGCATCGTGTACATATACTGTAGGTGTCCTTTGCTAACTTCTTAAATAATTACAGCCAAATTTCAAAAAAAAATCACAGCCGCACGTTCTCTCTCCCCCCTCTCCTTTATATAGCGTAGTACTCGGGCGGGTTCATAGGGGCAAGCAAAGCTGTAGAGATACTAAAGAGAGGGCGCCAGGGCAAAGAGAAAGATGAGGCAGCAGCAGCAGCCGAGGTCGGCGAGCAGGTTCAAGACGATTTGTGTCTTCTGCGGCAGCAGGCAAGGCAAGAGGACGAGCTACCACGACGCCGCCATTGCCCTTGCCCAACAGTTGGTAATATAATTCTAGTTTAGTCGTCTGTATATGGAGTACGTGTTTATCCGATCCGGCCGTTTCATTTGAGTACGCCACGAGCAAGCTAAGCATGCCTGCGCCGTGTGCAGTACTAGCATTATTTTCACATGCATCATCCACGTCGTCGACGACGACGGCTCTCGGTCGGCACAACAATTCAATCCGAAGGAGCGCGCCTTGAGTTGTGCTTGCAGTAGCAGCTTGTTGCCAAAACACCTGCCGCCTGCCGGTGCCGGACGATGTCAACCAGCATGCATGCAGAGATGCTGCGCGTGCACGCGGTAGGAGTAGTAATACAGCAGAGTGCTCACTTTGGAGCTGAGTCACACTCACTGACAGGAGGAAATAAATACACTGGTCTCAGCTGATGAGCATCCTGTACGACGCGATGCCATTGGATTAGCTTCAGCTGTTTTGAATGAAGGCGGAAAAAATATACAACACTGCATGCAAATAACAAAAGCTAACTAAAAATGAGCAGGGTTATTAATTTTTCATAATATAAATAAAAGGATTTCGCTAGCTTCTGAGAGGAGGCGGTCGGTGGTGGACGCATGCAATGCAATGCAGGTGTCGAGAGGCATCGACCTGGTGTATGGCGGCGGCGGCATAGGTCTCATGGGGCTCGTCTCGCAGGCCGTCCACCGCGGCGGCGGGCGCGTCGTCGGGTACGTGCATGCGCACGCCCACACACACACTAGTACAATATATATCGTGTGTTGTGCTAATCGAGTAGTGTTCGTGCATCCTTTTTTCGTCTTCCTGCAGAGTGATTCCCAGGACTCTGATGGCCACTCCTGAGGTATATCTATCTATTTGCATTACGTGATGCATGCATAGGCATATAGCCAGCATATATAGAATTTGCTCCTGCCGTCCTGCGGCACACCACACAAGCTTTTTTTTTTTTCTTATGATGCTGCTGTCTGCTGCCTTTTCTTCCGCGCGTCGTCAGATAATCGGAGAGACGGCGGGGGAGGTGATTGCGGTGGCGGACATGCACCAAAGGAAGGCAGAGATGGCGAGGCAATCTGATGCCTTCATAGCCCTGCCTGGTGAGTAGGAATATATATATATATATATATATATATATATATATATATATATATATATATATATATATATATATATATATATATATATATATATATATATATATATATATATATATATTGTGCGTGCAAATGATAGTATGATTTGATACTAATTAACCAAATTATATCGGGGAGGTGGTCATGATTCATGAATCCCCGCAACGTTGTGCCTTACTGACCAAGACAGTTTTTTTTAGTACTATGTATGACTGATGACTCTTCTTCTGACATTAATGCAAGCACAATAAAACAAGTATAGTTCTATGTACACATGCAGTATGCACGTGTATTATACTATATATGTTTCACTTGCCGTGCTGCCGGCCGGATGGACGACCACACGTATAGTACATAGCAACAAATTAAATAAACCTGCCTGCATTCATGCATGTATATGCTGGTCCATAAAATGGTCATCAGAACTATAGTACTAGCTGTCTGACGTGCGTACATGGCTGAACTAATCCTGAGGACCGTTTTTTTTCAGGAGGATATGGAACACTGGAGGAGCTGCTTGAGATGATCACATGGGCGCAGTTAGGCATCCACCGTAAGCCGGTAATTAATTAATCATAACGATATGCTGCGGCATGTATCCACACACACACACGATGAGTACAACCACACCACAGGATGGCTTTGTTGTCCCGGACGGTAACGGCCTTTAGTCCCGGTTATCATGCCGGGATAATGATCCCGGGACTAAAAGTGAAACCTTCAGTCCCGGGTCATCGAGCCAGGACTAAAGAGGGACCTTTAGTCTCGGTTGGTGTTACCAACCGGGACTAAAGGCCCTCCAACCGAGCAAACGTGGCCGCACCCTTTAGTCCCGGTTGGTAACCCCAACCGGGACTAAAGATTCCTTTTCTTTTTTTTTTTAATTTGTTTTCAGTTCAGTTACACATATTTTTTTAATATATAATATGTTTTTATGTACATATTCTACGCTGCTAATATAAATACACGCACGCATATAATTACATCTAATTCTCATCTCGAGCATTATTATATTCGAATAAAGTATGAAACTATATATATAAAAAACAATCTAAAAAAACTAGAAACTTTGTAAAAAAATATGGCCGAGAGCAGCTAGCTAGCAGGCTAGCTGGGGCGGATGGCGGGCCGGGCAGGGCGTGCTGGCCGGCCACGGGGCTGAGCTGAGCACTTCGTGCGAGGACGACGTACGGCGGAGACGGCGAGATCGATGCGGGCGGATTGGCGCGGCCGGGCGAGGGACGACGACGGTGCGGCGTGGCAGACGAGCTCGACGACGAGGCCGGGCGGGAAGCGGTCGGCGACGGAGGGTGGGCTCGGGTGCGGCGGCGGAGACGGGATGCGGCGGAGAGACGGCGCGCGATGCGGGCCGGGCGGATGGCGCGGCCGGGCGGGGGTAGACGACGACGGCGGCGCGGCAGAGACGAGCTCAACGGCCGAGCGGGGCTGGGCGACGGAGGCGAGATCGAAGATGGCGGTGGCGGCGGCGATGATCGACGTGTAGATCGAAAAGTAGAAGATGAACAGAACAGGAACCGTTCGATATATATAGGCCGGGACCTTTTAGTCCCGGCTGGTAAGCCGAACCGAGACTAAAGGTCCAACCCTTTAGTCCCGGCTCGGCTTACCAGCCGGGACTAAAGGCTTTAGTCTCGGTTGGTGTTACCAGCCGGGACTAAAGGTATTTTTGGGCGGGCACCGAAATTGCCGCCCACCCTTTAGTCCCGGTTCCTGGCCTAAAAATTTTGGCAGCCCACCAGAGTAATTGGAAAGGCCTGGGATTTTGATTTTGTTCTCCTTGTTTAATACTAGGTTAATCAATTAATTCTATAGCAACTTCAATACTTTGCAATATTTATTTTAAAAATACTATTGATTAACTAATTATATATTGTAAATAGGAAAATTTTGTAACCTAAAGTTTTTAATTTCTTTTATGAATATAGAATATAAATGTTACTAATATTAAGTATTTTGTTAATGCAAAAATATATTTGTAACTTAAAACTAATAAAACTAATATTATTCGATAGGAAATTTATTATCACATTATTATAACGTCAATGTTTTAATTTTTTCTCGGTTTTTGACCAAAATTGACAGGAAATTTTTGTTGAATCTATAAAAATAAAGAAAATGTAGTATTTTTGTTCTATAACTTTTCAAATGAAAAAATGGCCTATATAAGGATTGTAGATCTTGATGAGTTGAACAAACTTAATATTCAAAACTTTTCAATTTGAGACAATTTAGGGTTGCGAAAACTAGTTTGTAGGCGTCGAAATTTAAAAATCACAAATTTGAACCATCTAAACTTTCTCAAATGGAAAGTTGACCAAAACAACAATTGTATATCTTGATGAGATGAACAAACTTGGTATTTAAAACTTTTCAATTTGAGACAATCTAGGGTTCCGAAAACTAGTTTGTAGACGTCGAAATTTAAAAATCACAAATTTGAACCATCCAAACTTTCTCAAATGGAAAGTTGACCAAAACAACAATTGTAGATCGTGATGAGTTTAACAAACTTGGTATTCAAAACTTTTCAATTTGAAGTCATTTAGAGTTCATAATACTAGAGTCAAAGTATTGTTTTTTTTATTTGACCAAATTTGACTTGGTCAAACTTGCTCAAATGAGGTACTAAATGACCTCAGATGAAAAATCTCTGAATACCAAGTTTGATCATCTCAGCAAGATCTACAATTGTTACATAGCTCATTTTCCCATTTGAGAAAGTTTTATTAAACACTAGTCACAAAATCTTGAATCTCATATAGACTTTCTAAAACTATGTCACACACTTGTGAAATTTGAACTATATTTTGTGCAAACTTTCTCAAATGAAAAATAGCCTATATAAGAATTGTAGATCTTGATGAGCTGAACAAACTTGGTATTCAAAACTTTTCAATTTGAAACAATCTCGGGTTCTGAAAACTACTTTGTAGGCGTCGAAATTTAAAAATCATAAATTTAAACCGTCTAAACTTTCTCAAATGAAAAGTTGACAAAAACAATAATTGTAGATCTTGATGAGTTTAACAAACTTGGTATTCAAAACTTTTCAATTTGAAGTCATTTAGAGTTCATAATACTAGAGTCAAAGTGTTGTTTTTTCATTTGACCAAATTTGACTTGGTCAAACTCGCTCAAATGAGATACTAAATGACCTCAGATGAAAAATTGGGATAATTAGTCCCGTTTAGGGGGTCAAATCGGGACTAAAGATTAATCTTTATTCCCGAGGCATCACCCAAACCAGGACTAAAAGCTTTAGTCCCGGCTGGTATACCAACCGGGACTAAAGATCCCTGCCCCGCGGACGATCGTTGAGCACGAACTTTTAGTTCCGAGGGCAAAAAATGCCGAGACTAATATTAAATTGAGATATCGTTTTAAAGTCTGTTCTCTAGTAGTGGTATAGCTAGAGTACTAGCTAGATATGTATGTGCCTCGACGATATATACATATATCGGCTTCTCGAGCTCTCTCATATATCGTCTTCATCAGGTTGGATTGCTGAACGTTGATGGCTACTACGCCTCCCTGCTGGCGTTCATCGACCAGGCCGTGGAGGACGGGTTCATCAGCCCCAGTGCTCGCCGCATCGTCGTCCAGGCTCCCACGGCGCAAGAACTCATGGACAAACTTGAGGTATATATGCCTGCTAGTACTAGTAGGCGCGCTAATTAATAAATCTTTCAGTCTGCAGATTATATTATATGCCTGCTGCTTCTGCATCATCACTAAATATACATATATATATATATATATATATATATATATATATATATATATATATATATATATATATATATATATATATATATATATATATATATTATTAGGAATACGTCCCGTACTACGACAGAGTTGCCTCCGGGCTCAACTGGGAGGCGAGGGTCGTCGTCGTCAAGGATGCAGGTGCTGCTGATTCAGGGACGATCAGCGTTTCAGGCATATGAAGTTCGCATGTAGGTTGCCATGATTTTAGTAACTTGTTAGATCGCTCAGAATGCTGTGTTTGTGCGCATGTATGGTTAATTAATGTATTGTAGTCGTATACTCGTAGTAGTAGCAGCATTTCATATTTTCATTTGAATTAGTTCGGTAGCTTAAGAATCAAAGTAGTATATGGTGTTGTAGTGGTAAGAGCTTTAATTGGGTTTTATTATTAGTCAATGCTTTTTTATGGAAGTCAATTATCGGTTCTCACGATCAAAATCCAAAGCTACTGTAGATCACAAGAGCTATATATCAAGTAAGCTACTCAAAATACATTAGAGCAATCATAATGTATATGAGCTAAGTAGTCCATATAGACAGCTTTTATGTCAGGACAAGCTATAGTTATTGTTGTTGTCATAAGTCATAACGTTGGACCTTTGTTGTAGAATAAAATATTTATTTTTCCCACCTTCATCTCTCTCTCAAACCCATGGTCACAGCAGCCATAGGTGCTAGAGGCAAGGGAGAGAGAGCCAGGAGAGATAAGAAATATTTGTTTATTCTACGGACAGTCCATAAGGAATATGGATATCTCTAGTTATGCACTACTCTACAGACTACATCTACTATGTTTCAGCTAGCTGATAGACAATATTTTAATGTCTATGAACTACTTTTCTGGAATACTGTGGTTTCTCTTATATCATATCACTCTCTAAATCCCACCATGTCGTATAAAAACAAATACAATACAAGTCACCCATTTATTTCACACTTCATTCATTCCAAATTATAAGTCGGTCTGACTTTTCTAGATAGTAAAAGTATTTTCTAGATACAAGTCGCATCTAGGAATATCTAGAAAAATCTCATAATTCTCAAAACATTATAATCGATGTCAAAATACATTTTGAAAACTTTCCACAATGAAAACACGAGATGCAACCAACTTGAATGCATAGTATGAACGCATTCATCATTAAATTTATGTTCCATTCATGTTCCTTGCGTCTCATTTTTTTTGTTGTGGAAAAACAAGCAAAACATATTTATTTAGATATAGATATAGATTATATAATGGTTTTACCATTTTCTACATCTTGATATTTTTCCTATTTTTCTATAGCTAATCTTAAATTTTGAAGCTTATAGGTATTTTTATGAGACTTGAATATTGTATTTGGATTTGTTCTATCATAATCCCTAGTATTTTAGAAGCTTATAGATTTCTTTTTATAAAAAAAGCTTATCATGTATTTACATTTTTTTTACCTATCGGTCCTTGTTTACATGGGCTAGGACTAAAGATAGTTGGCTAACAATTAGCCTTATGCATCAAACAAGCCCTAGGTTTTACCATTTTACCTTCCTGAATTATCCTTAAAGTCTAGTTTTCCTCCTCAAACTCCAAAACCAGCTAAACCACCTCCCTCAACTTTTCAAACCGTTCAATTTACCTCCCTGACCCGGTTATAGGTGTTTTTTCAAAGGCGGTTTTGTCTTTTTCTTTTTTATTTATTTCGGCTGAATTTTTAAAAAATTATAGTAAATCACATAAAAATCATAAAATAGAAAATCAAATTTTGTTGGACTCCACGTGAGTAGATCTACACATTGAATATATAATATAGTATGTTTTAGGACAAATGTTTTGTTGTAGCTTTAGATCTATACTTTTCTGTAATTAATTCAAAGCTACAGTTTCTATGGTTCAATTGTGGTGAAATTTTTATCGTGGACTAATTATTATATGACTGAACTTTAGTAAAAAAAATTATCGTGGGCCAACAAAGGAGGGTTACGTGATAAGTGCGCCGTCGTGTGCTTACAGATGGCTGCTGGTGATCACTTGCTATCGAACTTGGGAGAGCATTTTTATTTTGGAACCAAGTGTTTGTCGTTTCGGATCTCCTAGAATGAAACCAATTTCACTTAAACACGTAAGCGTTACATAAAATGTGGGTTTCTGGTCGCAGATTAGTTTGTTATTAGATCTGCAGATTGAATTTGCGTGGATCAGTGGACAGCATAAGCAAGTGAAAAGAAGTTCGTAATAATGTATTCTTCATGTCCGACTTTTTTTGAAGAAACAGTGTTCATGTCCGATCGATCGATATGACCATGATCATGTTGTTAGTTTGTAATGTATTCCTCGATCGGATCTACCCATCGAATTGGATTATTACTACTAGGAAAGCGCTAGCAGGGGGATGTATCCTCTAATCACGCAATGGAGAAAAAAAAAAGAATTCAACTAGGTATGCACGCAACCAAATGCATCCAAAGAGAATGCATGTACGCTTATAACAGTACTTTTGTAACCAGCGATGTGATCGCTAAAAGAGCTTGTTTATTATCCCCCAGGCTTGCGTTGCGTGTGTGTGTTTGCCTTCCACCGTGACAAAATGGTTACGCATCTGCAGGTAAGCGTCTGGCGTTGTACGTGGCCTCAATTCCGCGCTCCCTGCACGGTTTATGTTTTTCTTTCAAGTTGTGCACGGATATCAGGAAGTCAAGGCTTGGTGGCACTGGCACAGACCCATGACCATGATGCGTCACTGTCACTGATGCGGCGAAGGGCGAACATCGTATCCTCTCAAGCCACAAGACTGACGTACGTACATGCACGAGCACGATGCCGGCAGCATGCATGCACGGAGCCACGGCGGCGGCGGCGGAATTCTCGGTGGCCAGCAGAGGGCTGGACCGTACCTGAACGGGGAGGACCGGCCGGACGAAGCCCACGTCGCGAGAGACGGCCGCCGCCCGGCCCGTACGCACGCGACTCTACAGCACTAGACATCGGTACGTATGCGCTGCGCTGCTTCTCTCGCGCCGGCGGCGCCGTCGTCTCCCGTGCATGTACCAACTGGTGGCGTAGATTGCTTGGCTAAGCTCCATTTCCTTCTGTGAAACCTATTTGTTACATACATCTCTTCTTCTCCTTGAAACAAGGGCTAGCTGCCGTACGTCTGTGTCCGGCCTCGATCGGTCTCCTGTGTACCGACTTTGTTCGACGGCGAGCTACCAGTCGCGGACAAGCAGCTCCGGGCCCTGGTCCTCGGAGCGCTGCACCTGGCCGATCGCCGGTGCCGAACCCATGCCCTCTGCTGCTTGCGGCCTCGGGACCGCCACAAAGTCTTGGAACGGCCACCGCGGCCTATGGCGCTGCCTGCGGCGGGTGTCCATGCCATCATCACTAGCTGGGCGGCTGGGCCCAGCCGCCCACCTCCACCGTTATTGCGTCCATATGGGGTACGCACGGGCGCTCAGCGAGCTTCCGCTGGAGACTATCTGTACAATTTTGACCACGCAGTGATAAAACCCCACGCTGCATAGCAGTGGCATAAACTAACCTTCCATTCCAATCCTGTGGTCCTGTCTCTACGTTCTACTACATGCATGCACGCGCGAGCTAGCGGAACGACTTGCTTTCGGACTTCTCCATCCTGGACCGGCACGTACTTCCTTCTGTAGCGCTGCTGCTACTACAGTGCCACTGCTCCTGGATGGCATACACGCAGCAACCACGCCAAGCAGGAAGACGTGTCAGCTGATCGTCTTCATCAATGCGGCAGCGACGACGACGAACGAAGAGGGGGAGGCGTGTCCGCCGCTCCCTCCCCCCCCCCGGCCCCCCGCCCCGCGACGAGCGACGAGCGAAACCAAACCCCGTGCGTCCACAGACCGCTGCACGGTCGCCTGCTTTCTCGTCGCACTCAGACCTCCGATGTCCGATCCCTGGCAAACCAAAACTCGTCTCATCTCATCTTACTAGTAATAAGGAATCGAACGAATCACTATTCTTCTATATACAAACAAACGCATACAGCAGCGTACTAGTACACACATGCCCGTCGTCAGAATCACGAGAAGACAAGCAAACGAGTTGCGGCGCGTAGTACAGGCCGGCCTGACGAGTCTTACTGGAGCACACACACACACACACACAAAATACAGAAACGTCTCCATTATGCATCGGCCGCAGACGACGTCGTCGTCGATCCAGGGCGGGGAGACGAAGAAACGACACACGACACTTGCTTATCCGATCGATCGATGCGTTCCCGAGATGAGCCGGGGAGGGAGGAAAAAAAAAAAAACTAGCGGCTGCCAGCCAGACGAGCTCTGCTGCCGTGCACCGTGCTCCGCTCCGCTCCGTGCGTTCCCCGTTGCCAAGCTGGGGCAGCCGTGAGGAGAGGACCGATTGAAAACGCCATTCCGATCCACGCAGACGCAGGCCTCCCAAGGGGACCGCAATGCAACTTGCCGCGCATCGATGTCGTGCTATCTGAAATCTGATCTGCGTGCTTTTTTTCTTTCTTACTCCGTCCTTTTTTTTTTTTTGCGAGATGATCTTCCTGTGTTTAGCCTTATCGAGATCGCAGTGGCCAAGAAAAGGCGGCAATAATGCTGGCGGGCTGGCCGGCTTTCCAAAGCTTCCATCGACCTGAGCTGAGCTGAGCTGAGCTCGGATGGTAGTGGTAGCTGCTGGTGGTGGCTGTGGCCGGGCGAGCTGGTGCCTGCGGAGTGCAGTGCAGTCCAGCGTGCCAGCATCATCCGTTGCCATCGTTCCTCCGTGGACGCATCTGCGGCGTTGGGGTCATCGTCCTGCCCAGCATGCAGCAGCAGGCCCCGCCCGAAAAGTGCTGATATCATCGCCGGACTGTATACTACTGCTGCTGGGCCCGCGTGTTCTGCGGTGGAGCCGTCGTCTCTGCAGACAAACGACACTCTCCACTCCAGCCTCCGATGGACTGAGCACGGTCACGGTGGGAGAGCAGATCATCCATAGGTTTGTTTATTGTCCGTAGATAACTTAGTTTATAAAAACACATATGTACCACATGATTAATGCAATTGAACATACTCCTATGTACCACATGATTAATGCAATTGAAATACTTGTTTAGACACATCTAATGTTTGTTTGGGCGTCCGCATGCCCGCATGCACAGAGGGTAGGTGTGTGTGTGGAGTAAGGGTGTGGGTTCGAGGTTGGAATTAGGGTTCAAGG